CAAAGGGAACCAGAAAAGTGAGACGACGATGGCCACCACAAGCTTAGGGGCGCACCTTAATTCCAGCCAAAAGACTTGAACCTTTCCCTGGGTCGTGGGGGGGGGTCAGAAGAGCGGCGCGATGATGATCAGATCAGAGGTGGGCCGTTGAGAAAAGCTTAGAACTCGTGTAAAGCCTTATCGATGGATTCTTTTGGCGACAAAACATTCAGAGAGTATGTTGATAGGAGATCACTCCAGTCATCTCGACTGTAATCATTCGCGTCCTCACGGGTCATTGTAGCCGTCGACGGGCACTCCGATGGGCCGATCTTGTAGCGGGAGAGGCGGCGCCGGAGCAATTGGGAAAGATTGGAACGCAAACCGGCATGACGATATCTCGGGCGAGTGCGACTGCAACACAGCCAATCAGGAGGCCGCACACCGGGGGCTCTAACCCTTTGCGGCCATCGAATTCAGGCAGCGGTAGATGGATCAGGCATGCAATTTAAGCTTAATCGAACAGTCACGTGGCACCCATACTCAAGTATACAGAGGCTGCGTGAGCCGATCCTCTCCCAGCCAACAGCAACAGACACCTTGCGTGCATACTGAATGGTTTCTATTATACATTGTTTATATCTACACGTCCTTGTTATAGTATTATACAAATTGCTCCTCCAGCTGCACCAGCAGTTCGTGCACGTCATCTACGGGAAGGGGAATGGCCCGAGGGTTCTTCAACGCCTTCTCGCCCAATCGTTGGGTCAGGATGTCTTGCAGCTTCTGCACCCCACGCTCAGGCTTGCTCTGCAGCTGACCTGTCACGTCCACCGTGATGCGAGAGGCAGCAACATCCTTGGGACCCAGGATGAAGATGAGGTTGTATTTCATCTGCTTGGCACGTTGGATCTTCTTGTTCAGCGATTGACTACTGCTGTCCACATCGATCAAGAATGTGGAGTCAACCGAGGAGATCGGCTGGGGCGCATCGGTCCCCATTTGGCCTGGCTGAAGGGCGCGGAATCCAGAGATCTTGGCAGCCGCTTCGTGAGCCTGTTGTACGACGGCCTCATCTTGGTTCACAGTTAGGACGATGCCCTGGCGTGGAGAAAGCCAGAACGGCCAGCGACCAGCGTATTCCTCAATGAGCAGCGCCAAAAATCGCTCCAGAGAGCCGAAATTTGCCCGATGGATCATGACCGGGGTCGCCTTGCCTGGAGTCTCCGGGTTGTAATCCTCCTCACCTTCAGCGACCTGGTACTCCAGCCCAAATCGCTGAGGGAGGTTCATATCGAGCTGAATGGTGGAAAGTTGGTGGTATTTGCCCGCTTTGTCTTGGAGCTGAATGTCGATTTTGGGGCCGTAGAATGCTCCGTCACCTTCATTCATGGCCCATTCCCTGCCCGTATTGTCGAGTGCCTCGCGCAATTGGGCTTCGGCACTATTCCACAACTCCAAACTACCGATAAAGTCCTTCTCTGGCCTTGTGGAAAGGACTAAGCGATACGGCCCCAGTCCGAATGTTGTCATGACCAAGTCCACGAATCCAAGCGCCGATGCGATTTCACTCTTGATCTGCTGTGGCCGACAGAAGATGTGCCCATCATCTTGATGGAAACGGCGCACACGAGTAAGCCCACTTAACGAGCCCGAAACCTCATTCCGATGAAGCGGGCTGAAATCGGCGTAGCGGATGGGCAGTTCCCGGTAAGAATGCGTCTGCGATTTGAATAGCAGGCAGTGGCCGGGGCAGTTCATCGGCTTCAGGCCGTAGGATTCATCTTCTCCCGCTTCTCCGTCCGTATCACCAGTGGCCCCCCTACCGCGCACCTCGTACATGTCATCTTTGTAGTTCTGCCAATGGCCGGAGACTTCCCAGAGGGACCGTTTGTAGATCGTCGGGGTCAGGACTTCGCGGAAACCGTATTGGAGGTACTGCGTGCGGAGAAAGGTGATGAGTTTGTTGATGATATGGGTGCCATTGGGGAGGAATAGAGGCGATCCGGGACTGTAGACCGAGGTTGTGAAAAGGTCCTGGGAGGTTCCCAGGGCGCGATAATCGGCTGGGGTGGAAGACTGAGTCTGAGGCTGGCCGGGCTGCGGGTCAGAGCACGAACAGAGCCGGGACGAAGTCGATGAGAGCCATTGCGCCCTCACTGATGGCCAAGGGGTCAGCCGTCCTCTGACCGGAGGTTTTCGAGAAAGCAAAGGCTGCCGTAACAAGGGCGACAGTCGACGCATGGTGGAACTTAGCGGACAGAGGCAGCGACCAGACGGTGAAACTGGAGGATTTTCCTCGGTCGCCCGTGACTGCCAACGCGAGTTCCCGATTGGGAATCGCGTTCCCGTGATTGTCCCCCACCGACTTCATCGGGTGGCTGGACGTTTTGAAAGACCGATCTAGATATACTATCGTCAACTAGTCCAGCTATCTGCCTCTTTACTTTGGGATCGGCGTCCTGGTTCACCGCCGCTCACTCACCGTTGTCGCTATACTAGTTCATCACTTAATCTGTCTTTTCTATGTAAGTACTCTTGCTTCACGTGAGCCACACCAGTAACCCAGTCCTGTCGCATTCTCTTTCTATTACGATAGCACGGTGCTACAGTAGAAAAAATCATTGACTGACCTTGCTAGTATCACTATATATTCGATGTTTCTCACATGCGCATGAGCTATTTGTCACAGTATATGGAATCTCATATCATTAACCCTTGCTTCCAACGGCTCGCGTGCGCGTCGTCAGTCCGCCAACACCGTGTAGTGACTCAAAAGCGACTAAAGCCTCATAAAGCTACTATTAGCCGGTCTGTATTTTATGACCACAGATCTTGATGTCTATCAAAAGTCCTCGCCCCCGGGACAGCTCATTCCTGGGCGAGTCTTGGGTTGTAGCTTCTCCTCATGAGGAGAATGGGCAACAAGATGAACGTCAGCCATCTGAGCCTTCAAGCCCGACGCCAGCTAGGAGGAACCGCAACTATGGAACTGAGTCCATGTCTACCTCCACTTCATCCGCCTCGGGACCAGAGCTGATCATGCCTTCAATATACGAAGCACCTCTATCAGAAGGATCTTGGGTTGCGCCCACTGCTCGAACCAAGCGCTCTCTCAGACGGAGGCCTCAAAAATCGCCGAAGGACTCGGCGCAAGAAGGGCAACAGCAGTCTCCTTCGCCCAAACAAGATGTCACGGCGGCAACGCCAACGCAAAGGCCTCGCCAACCAAAGGCAACCCAGCCTCGCGCATGGAAGATCGCGGAGAAATTCCTACGCACAATACTCAATTGCGCTCTTATTGCCGCCATTGCTCACATGCTCGTCCTTCCCGAGATAGTCCAGCAATACCAGACGCTTTGTTCCTCGGACAAAATAGCAACTCTATACCCAGCTAGTTGCATCCCACCATATCCCCAGCCACAACTCCCCCGCCACCAACCAGCCCCCCGGGACCCCGTCACTAACTCACAATCGCGGCTCGAGACCCTGCTCAATTCGACCCTTAACGAAACAGACCCTCTCGCCAACACACTAAAACAAAGCGAATCCAAGCTGCGCGACATCCACACCGACCTCAAGCACGCCTACCCAGGCAGTAAACACGAATTAGACCTCGAATTCACAGGATGTCTTCAAGCCACCCGCATCGCAGCGGGGAAATTCGACTCGCTCCGAGCCGACATCCGCTCAGCGGTAGATAGTCTGATCGCCAGCGGCGACAACATCCAGACCCTGAGTCAGGACGCGCGTCACGCCACCCAAATGGCCCGACGAGAACAATACCTCGACCAGCTCACCACGCGCATGCAGTCCAAAGTCGATTCCCTCTCCAACGACCTCGCCACGCTTGACGACCACCTCGAATCTATCGGGAGCATTGTAGCCCGCGAATCAAAACAATCCAAGCCAAGCTCTTCTACTCCTGCGCCCGGGCCTAATAATCCAGGGCCCGAGCCAGGACCGAAATCAGACCAGCCACCTCGTCTGCGCGCCTTCGTTGACTCCCTCTTGGGCGTCAACTTACCTGCCATCCTTCGTCCAATCACCTCGGAGTCGGAAAGCGCCATCTCCAGCCCCGATCCCTCACTAGCTGACATATTCCGAGAAGCGTCCACCAATCATCGCCCGGTCATCAAGGTCGTCCGAAACCTATCGAATCAGCTCCAGATGCTGCAACAAAGAAGAAACTCTGCTATCTGAGCGCAAACTATTGAAAAGCTAAATAACGTGAATATGAGACATGCATATGATGGATATTACTTTTGATTATGATTCGGACTGGCCAAGAACGAGAAGTTGGGGTAAACATGCAAGTCGGCGTTTAGTTTAATTCTTGGGTGCAGTGCGCGGCGCTATTTTCCTTTGTTTTTCTTTTTCTTTTTTTGATCACCTGGCTTTGTTACAGTCACACGTGGGTCTCACGTTACACATGGCTTACACCTACCTGTCAGGAACAGTTTTCTAGTCTAGGTACTGCTTACCCGGGGGGCGGGGGCCAAGAAACCACAGCGCAGCACGGCGCGTACGTAGTATTATTATATGTGTTACATGGAATTGGGGTTACATTGGATTTAAATTGATATCATTAAGTTTCTGAGCTGCTAAAATTAAGTCTTTGATTTTGTCCAGCAAAGGAGCGTTCGTCCGGGAAAAGACAAAATTAAAACCAAAGTTAAAAAAAAAGACCCATTTCGTAAAATATCGGCAGGTAGAAAAAAAAGCGCAAGCAAGATGATTCATTCTGAGATAACAACCGACAGCATTGTAAAAACAGTAGCAAGAAAGCAGAACAACTTTCTGTCTGATAGCCAGTGTAGGTAGGTGGGAAGATAAAACCAAATAGACAACTCCTCCTTCTTTCAGATAATATGTACTTCCAACGGTTCCAAATAAGCTATGCAGTGAAAGCAGGGGAAAGGGTGAGTGGGTGGGTGTAAGTTTCCAAACGACCCATGAAGAGAAGTGAAAAAGGTTGTTGCATCATGGATTGGGCGTCGATGATGAAGGGTGTGTCAAATTTACAAGAGGGCAGCGAGGAGACCAGCGAAGAGAAGGCTGGTGGAGGCGCCGACCTGGGTGGCAGCACCGGTGTAGAGGGGAGAGGCACTGGCGCTGGCGCTGGAGGAAGCAGAGGCGGAGCCAGAGGCAGAGGCGGAGGAACCGCTGCTGGAGCCAGAGCCAATCAAGGCAGAGGAGGAGCCGGCGGCGGCGGCGCTGGAGGCGCTGGTGCTGGACTCGGAGCTGGTGCTGGAGCCGGAGCCGGAGCCAGAGTTTGAGCTGGTGCTGGAGGTGGAGGTGGAGGTAGAGCTAGAGCCAGAGCTGGTGGAAGAGGTGGAGGTGGAGCTAGAGCTGGTGGTGGAGCCAGTGGTAGAGCTGGAGGTGCCGTTGTTGACGACAATGCTGGTGTAGTCGCCAGACTTGTCAGAGTAGGTATAGGAGGAGCCGGGGTTGTAGTTGGTGATGGTGACCGACTGGACAGTCATGGTGAAGGGACCGTCGGAGTAGTCAGTCTCACCACCGGCCCACTCGATGGTGCCCTCGGGCTCGGAGGAGTCACCAGCAGCCCAGATACCAAGCTTCAGGCGCATGGGAGTCTGGGGGTAGCGAGTACCGCTCTGAGCATCACTGTAGGCAAGGGTGCGCACGACAGTGCCGTCAACGCTCCAGGTAGTGGCGGATTCAGTCCACTCAATGGTGTAAGTGTGGAAGGTCTCCTGGGGGGTCGACACAGTTGCCCAAGTAGCACGGTCGTAGGAGGAGGTGTCACCCTTGCCGAAGTAGTTGGTCTCAATCTGAGTGGTGTCACCACCAAGAGCTTCCTGAATATCCCAATTTGGTTAGCCTACTACCCCATGCATATTGGGTGATAAGGGTGCAGCTGAGCGTGCATGATAGGGTTGGCAGGGGCAACAGGGGCAGTAAAATGATAAATTATGAGACTGAGAGGGATTTGAGAGCTTACCCAGTCGATCTCGTCGAGATCGTCCGACTCGAGGACGATACTGCTGCAGATACCGGTACCGCTGGCAGCCTTCATGACAACCTCAGCCTTGCCGAAGAAGAAGTAGAAGTCGGTCTCAATGGTAGGAGCTTCACCCTTCTCGCTGATGACGAAGTTGGCACCCTCATCGGTAAAGGTGACATTGTTGGCGGTAGCAATCCATCCACCGAATGAGCCAGAGGTGAAATCAGTGGTGAAGGTGGTGGAGCTCAGGGCCGTATCAGCAGGGCAGGTCTCTGATTGCTCGGTTAGCTCTGAACAAATATGGGTGTGAAAAAGAGCAACGTACTGTTGAGAGGGTCACAGTCCGTATAGGTCTGCGCGGTGGCCAAGGGCAGCAGCGCAGCCAGCGCGGCGGCAGTTTTGGAGAAGTACATGATGTTGTAGCTGTGGGGGTGGTAAATGCCAGAAGCGACAGACTAGAAGGTTCTTCTATGCTAACAACGAGGGTTAGAGCAAGAGACCAAACGAAGGAACAAACTCCTGCTTGTGTGTGTCCGGGGTATGAAATCGAAGAGGCGGGTAGAGTCGGGGGATGCCCAATGTATTAAATAGTAGTGAAGTAACTAGTAAGTGAGTCTAGCAGAGAAAGCGAACGACAGACCCAGGAACCCGGGCAACCAAAAAGGGAAGAGGAGGGGAATATTAGACTTCCGTTACGATGGACCGGGAAGTGGGCAGAGTACTGGTACTAATAAGGTCACAGTGAATGATGCTAGCCAAGTGGGTGCCGCCATGGAGACAAATTGTATGATATTAATACTTTCCCCTGAGGGAGACTTCATCCGCTACGGAGTAGTCACGACGAGCCAACTAGACCCAAGGATGATAACTGGGGGCAAAAAGGTTGTATCCCCTGGTTTGGCCTTGCGAGGATTCTGGGCAGGCACTGGACAAGGTCTGCGTCACGGCTGAGGTGGTCAGACACGGTGACTGAAGGAGGAGCAAAGGACGACATCGATCCAGTGGAGTCTCGACTGGAGACGGCCCCAGTGAGAAAGCCAGTGTTGGCGGCTGTGATAGGCGCATGCGCATCCGCAGAGGCTGGCATTATCCACTTTTCGACTCGGTCGGGAGGATCGTTCGTTGCGCTGACCGGCCGGGGAAAGCAACGAGGGCGTGTGCACTGTGTGTCCTGCGTAGTGCGTACACACTGTACTGTAGACTATACGAAGGCGGAGCGAGAGAGGAACAAAAGCTTGTGCCTGCCGCGTGTCTTACACACGCTCTGATTTGCTGTTTTCTTGTTTTTCTCCCTCGGTCCCCTGCGCCGCTTTCATCCTCCCTTTCCAGATGATTTTTTTTTCTCATCCCCCTTGTTCTCACCTGTCTTTTCCTCCTTGAAACCGAGGGTCATCAACGGTTTAGCCAAGGGTTGGAAGGAGTCCAAGATGTCATTCGCTTAGGGTCCGACGAAGGAGTGGATAATTACTACAAGGTGGTAACGATAGGGTCACCGTGGAGCAAGTTGGTGTCGGTCCTTTTTAGGCAACGATGCAATAACTCCGAGAGCCAAGGGGGCCAAGTATTTAACCACGATTTTGCCACGGTCGCATAATTGTGCACATATAATTTCCGCGCAGCTGTGATCCAACAGTTGGGTAATCCCGCTTGCTGATCCTGTCAGAGAAGTGTCGCAGCATTGACGCTGCGATGCAATTGAGGCCAATCGATGCGAGCCATGGATCAGGTACATTGGACCTGTGGTTCAACCATTAGAACAGACTGAAAATGTAAACACAGTCGTCCAATCTAATGGTCATAATACCACTAACATCCATTGGCCGTAAGTAGTGCGAAAATAAAAACTAGAAAATTAAAAATAAAGACCCTAACTAATTCAGGGTGCAATAAGCACAACTTTTGCCCTCGGAGGGACCGTTCCAAAACTTTCTACCGGCGTTGGACAACACTCCGGAGAAAAGATTATAAGTCTGGCAAATGAATAAATAGAAACTTCGTCTAAGCGCCAGCTCGGTTGGCCAAATGTTTTGGAGGTGAGGAAGAGAAGAATGTCTCAGCCGGATAATATTATAAACAAAGAGCTTGAAGGCGACTCGAAAAGGACCATGTTTCTGGCCCTGAGAAGGAATCAAGAGAGTCAGGAACTTACTTACCCACTCCCTCAGCCCATCAGCGATAAGAAGACGCATTCGGATAGAGGGTCCGAACTACCGAGCGCTTCTGGCTCAATTTCCTGGAGATTAGACCAGGGAATGAGCTAATAACGTGCAGGAGTCAGAAGTACAGGTGGACAGGGTAATCAAAATCAGAGGGTGTCTGTCAGGCGCATCAGCCTCAATCTGAGACAGATAGGGGAGGTCGTTTAATTCATTTAATTAACCCGTCCCCTGAAGGAGGGAGGACGACAGGAGCCGTCATGAACCCCTCATCCTTCACGGATGAAGCTAAAGGATGCAGTAGATGCAGCTTGTTGGATACTTGGATTGTCCAACCTTTCCGAGTTCCGCAAACCCTTCGGTCACCTGCCGTAATCTATCCAAACTATCTGTGGGGGCTGAACTTCTGCAGTTACCATACCATACGGGCTTATCTCACCACATGTAATCATGAAATCACGTGCCTCATTGTCTCCCGCCTTGATGCCTGGAGATGCCTGGAGATGCCTAGTTTCTGCCTACCGCGAAAGGTTGGGGAAGGCGTGCCTCAGGATGCGCATCTTGTTGGGCGAATCCCAATCCAGCGCCACGTTGATCACCCGACCCTTGTTTCCCCTCTCTTCTTTGCACAAACCCCTTATCTTCTTCCCCTCCCACCTTCTTGTCAAGGACAACTAACCCCCCCGGTCCTGCAAGGCTCAAGCCTCTGTCTTTCCTCCATCAGAATATGGTTCAGAAACCTAGCAAATCTATCCATCGCGCTAATCGGACTCGTTCTATCGCCGGCGCTGCATCCTCCTCTTCCCCGCTAGATCCAGACATGGACCGGAAAGTCTACATTCCGCTCTGCTTCTGTCTGATCTCCTTTGCGGTGATGGTCTATGTCAACTGATCGAAGACTGTGGGATTTTATCTACCACGGTCTTGAACGAACGTACTATCATCTCAGATCACGGCATCATACCTATCTACTCAGGTCGTAAAGCCATCGAGTCCACGCTCTTTTGACTCCCTACGATATCAACGATAATCCACACCGCATGCCCCACCCGAACGACGCCTCGGCATCCCAACGCCCCATCCAGACCGATAATTTTCACTCACTTGAAAGCCAGTCTGGGTACTGCTTTCGCAAAGCTCAGAACCACCATTCATCACCATTGTCATCAGCCACGCAAAATGAGTAGAAAGATCGCACCGTATGGGACCGCAACGGGAAAAGGCTGGTCGATCGACGACGCAAGCGGGAGGGCACTACGTATCCCACTTACGGGACCTCGGCCGCGCCACAGCGATCATTAACAGGTGCCAGCCAAACCATCTCGCAAAGCCGCGCCATATGCAGCTGCACCTGTCTCGCAATTTTCCGAACAAAGCACGAGAAAATCGACATCGCGCAACATGTCGGAGTTAAGACATTGTATTCGACACTAAAGAGAAATCCATCTGCTTAGTGACGTACGTACCCACGTACGCTGGACCGCCACTATTGCTTGTTTGTGTTTTGCTTCTCTCGGTGCTAGGCCAGTTGCCCCGCATAAAGGGTGACAACAAACAGGCCAGCAACCAGCCTCTCTTTTTCTTTCCTATGTGGAATTGCTATCATTTTGCATTTCATTATCTACTATACCCAATAAGGTGAAGAAATTCAACCTACTGCGCCATAGCAACTGTTACTATTACCCTCAAAGCCCAAAAATAACCTTATAACACCACTACCATGCATTAGTCCTTTCTAACTAGCTCATATGATCAATATCGTAATTCAAACCTTCGTATTCTATCTCCATAGTCCATATACACCACTACCCCAATAGTTAGAGCGTACTGTCTCTGTGGCCCAACCCCGCCCGAAACAAAATTTCAATAACCCACCCACCTAGCCATGCATTAGAAGATTCCAGTCTAGACTAGTAAAAGCAACATCTGCAGGAATAATACCGCCATCACAAACCGGACCGATAGCACGCAGTGCCCTAATTCCCCACAGCATGGATAAGACAACCGCCCAAAAATAGCCGGCATAACAACAAGCCCGGTAAAAAAAAAAAAGAACATGACAGTAATGAATGGAACGAAAAGAAGCAAACTGGACCACCCGGAAGCTTAAATTCAAGACATTATTTCGGGGCAGTGCTTCTTTGTCTTAGCTAGTCGTCTACTCGGAGATTGAAGGTCTATACATAGATACATTAGTGTCGGAGGAGGTTTGAGTTTAGTAGATACTAGATATCATTGTCGCAAATGAAACGTAAGACAAAACCACTATCCCAACTAAATACATAGATAGTAGTATCAGAGCAAGTACGCCTCATACTATCCCTCCCTCCGTAACAAAGAAATCATATTACTGCGCAATACGTAGGTAGCAACCAGCCATGTATGTGGATAAGCCTAATCTAAATTACAGTAATGTATGACCTGGCGAAGCGGTTCCTCTAGCCTTGGAATGGTTCCATTCTGAGAAACTTCTCCCGGAGTTCTAGTGCAACAGTTTAGTTCATTGGCTGGTTATCAGTCTAATTTGACAAGAACGAAACTGTTATCAATTGCTATTCATGTCTGCTGCTTTATCGGACAGCAAAAAAGGAAATCAGTCCAGGTCGTGCCCGGGATCGAACCGGGATTGCTGGAATCAGAATCCAGAGTGATAACCATTACACTACACAACCTTAGTTGTTGAAACGGTGATTATTTTGACTATATGATGCTACTCATAAAGAATAGAAAATTCCAGGTAGGTATGTATATTAGTTGCTTGTATGCATTGGTAAGAAAAGTGCCATGATGTATGATGGTGAGTGTTGTGATGGGCTGTTGTTCCATGTTATCATAAGGATCGGTGAGCCCATTTTCCCTGTGTTCCCCTACTGCTAGTACTATACTTGCAGGTGGTCACTTTTGTGTCACGCTGTTAGGTAGCATAGATAATTAGCATTTGTCATTCTATATCTTTGCATTCGGTATACTTACTCTTCACGGCTTGTGCTCGGTCTGACATTCCCCAATGCAAGGTACCTATATGTATGTGGTCAATCCCTCCACTTTCATTTCCAGCACCCATCCAATCGTATTCTCCGTGCCCTGGCATATCCCTGGCCAGTAAGGGGCACAATATCTATAGCCCTTGTGTCTGTCAACAATTCCTTCCTAGCTTTCGGGTCTTTGGCACTCCCAGGTACATACGGTTGACCGTCAGATATACTTTTGGTCTAGCCATATCAACAAGCACTGAATACGCCATTGACATCGTATATATCCGGTAGATAGCAATTCAGGTGATTGCTTGTTCTCCTTCGTCATTGATGCACTCTACACATGATACATCACTCATCACTGATCCAATCGTTGTCTACTTAGCAAGACCCGCACTCTGCCACCCACCAAGAGATATACTCTACGGTCCCATACAACTTTGATTCCCTTCCTCTATCAAGTAGCAAAAAGGTCGTACCCGGGATCGAACCGGGATTGTCGGAATCAAAATCCGAAGGGATAACCATTACCCCATACGACCTGGGAGCTTCGGAATTTCGCAATTTTAGAAAATTTGAGATTATGAAGCTGATTGTGTAGGATTGGGAGTATATTACGGGTGGTTGTTATGCTTGAGACTCTCTTGTGTGGATGTATAGATGGAGCATTGTGTAGTAGGCATGTTGAGTATCCTGGCGTGCGTTTATGGATGATAGTGGGAGGATGTTGAGTGGTTATAGCATCATCAGTTGTGTAGTATACTAGTCACGGGAAATATATAAGTAGCGTACTGAATGACATCACCCGAGGAGCCAACAAAATCAATGACCTGCCAGGACTTATCTAGAGCTCGACGAGATCACCCAGCACCTCCGTATCGTCTAAACATTTATAGTGGTCGCTGCCCATCACAATAGTCCCGAAACAAAAGACACAACCGCAAGTAAATCAACTCACCGGCATCGGTGACCCAAACGAAACACCAACCCTTTGTCCACCTGATCCACATGATACCGAAAGCATCCGGCCCTGGATCAGAACATATGAATATACTTTCCACAAAATCGGCCCAGATTACATATTAGTAAAGGTAGCCGAGCATTGGAACCAAATTCTCTCAGCCTCTCTGTACAAAGTATGCATGCAAGTCTATGCAGGGCAAACCCGTTGCTTTGTGTGGGCTTAGTTTCGACAAGTCTAGATCAAAGGCCTCGACCAGGTCCCATTATCTGGTCAGCTGTGGAACTGCCTCATATGTGGGGTGCGGCCCTGGCCAGACACATGGCCATCCATAGCTCGTGGAAGGGCTGTTGACGTATCTTCGGTAGGTGAGCCGTGGGACTAGCGGGTATGAGAAAAGCCGTTGGCTGAGGGGTCTGGACTTCCAAGGACTGGGGTTCCAGGGTTCTAGGGTACCAATGTTAGAGGTGTTTTGTGGTTGGTTGTTGGGTTGAATGGAATTTGTAGTCTGCTGGAATTTGGGTTGGGCGTGCGAACCCAGTAGGATAATTTATGGGCATGCAAAGGGAGTCAGTTAATGACGGTACACTGGTAATAGAGACACTCATGCATTACGATCATAAATGCCTGCTATTATGGAGGACTTGCAGGCAGAGGTCACAGGGGGAAGAAAAAAAGAAACACAAAAAGGTCGTGCCCGGGATCGAACCGGGATTGCTGGAATCAGAATCCAGAGTGATAACCATTACACTACACAACCGTATTTGTTGAAAGGAAGAAGCTACTTTGGTTACATAAAAGAAAATACAAAGACAGCCTACAATCATCTAAGAACAAGCACAGGATACCCTGAAGAATTACACACTATATATATATATTACGGATTCCCCCAGTGTCATCTATAAAGTACTTCTTGTCCAAATCAATGTGTTTAGTGCTAAAAGTACATTTTAGGTGTCACTGGAGAGGTCAGCCACTCAATTTTAACAATCCTGCACCAAGACACAGTGATGGGTCTATGAACAGTTAACCAAGATATTCCTGTCAATGATACTACACTACTTCTAGGCAATACGTGTGTTATTGTAGACATAGCCACGCCTACAGCCACACCCAAGTTCGAAGACCATGGTTCCAATTTGCGGGCCACCGTTGGACTTTCACAGTATACATCGCGGAAGTCCTGACGGCGTCATTCGTATGTTTTTGTTTCCTGCCAGGCTGAGCAAGTCAATTCGAGATTGTGTAGATCACACTTATTGGTAGCCTCTCACACAAGGAGGCATTTGTTCAGCAAGAATCTGAGACATCAAAACGCTGAGAGCGAGCAGGTAGGGCGTGGTCTTCATTTTGCAAGTAGTGCACCAGGTTTTCGTATTGTCTTAAGCAGAGGAACTAAACTTAACGGAATTGGGTCATGCAGTCTCCAGATATTCACTCATAGTTCTGAAATTTTTTTTGTATAGGATTTCTTCATCCCATAGTTCGGTCGACTGTGTCCGCTCAACAAAGGATTCGTTGGCATCGGTTGACGACGCCAACTTGGTCAGATGGGCGTACCCCATTCGATCCCATTTCAATGCATTTGAGTCAGTACCGGAGATCGCAGAGAAGTTACATCCGGCCCTAGAATTTATTGTCTCAAGTTTGGTCTGGCGAATCCATCAGAGTTGGGTGGAATAGTATCGCCTGACACGTACCAGGGTGATGTATACTCTGGGGCCGTGTCGCCTGGGAGGTATTCGGCAATCACAGTGACAAAGCGCCCGTATCCTTTCTCGGTGAGTACAAGAGCAACATTGAGCCCGATAATACCAGCTCCGAGAGAATGTGTAAATAATCAAATTAGGGTGAGACCTTAGAAGATAGAGGCTTACCCTACAATGACTATCTTGTTATTGCACATGATTGTTTTTGCAAGCAACAAATATTGACAGAGGACTTCCCACGACATATACATAACCGGGGAAGGACTGAGTATTATCCGATCTGATCACGCCAGAACAAAAGAATGGAAATGTGTTAATCCAACACTGAAATTGTATGTTTCCCCGCGCTAAATTCAAGAAATAGCTACTAGCTCATCCGCGATATTGTCCATGCGGGTACCAGCGCGATTCGCTGTTTTCAGCCGACAAGGCATCAGACCTTTTGATCATATCTAGTCTCCCTGGTAGTGATTTAGAAAATCCAATTTGTGATGAAGGTGGTCATGGGAAAAGATTGCTGCTTCCAGTATTTAATTCAGCGAAGACGGAATTTATCCCGTTCATATGATACTCGCGTACTGGGTGAGACTGCTACTATGTCCCTAGTGAATAGACATCCACATCCAGTATGTCTTGTGTAGTGTTCACCAAGTCGGAGAAATGATATTCAATAATACTCTAACATGCTCGACAGCAGACGGCTCAACGGTTTCTTGATTTTCTCCTCTTCTTCTGTTTCTTCGGTATCTCAGTATATGCCTGTACTCTTTTATCTCTTCTCATTTATTTTATTTCATTGCCATCCCCCCCTGCCTGTCGGGTTCAAGCCAAATGTGATAACATTGTGTTGAAGTTCTTAAATATCAGATAGCGACGCAACAACAAATTGATCAATAATCCTGCTAACTTCATCAGGGGCTTCTGTTGAAGGGAAATGATTGACATCTTTCAACATCGCGATTTCACACTTCTTGAAATCCTTCGCCAGCTTATGAGCCAATTGTTCCCCATTACCAGAGCCCTCATTTTCACCCATGATAATAATGCTCGGGATCTGGATCATCTCCAGGTGTGTCTCTTCGATAGCGAAATCAAGCATTGCCTTGGCGTTGTACCGACGAGCATAAGAGGGCCATTTGGCCGCTTCCAGCGCAATCCCTGGCCGAAGGCCCATTCCAGCGTAGAAATCAACGCATTTGGATGGTACATCAGCTGTCTCCACGAGCATTTGCATCGTGAATCCTTGCTCTCGGAGCCATTTCCCATCACGGTGGGGACCCAGATAAGCCACGCCGCGGATTTTTTCCTTGTGCTGAACACAGAAGCTAGTCGCGATGTTACATCCCATAGAGTGGGTGACTAGGATAATAGGCTGCTCTTTCTCCAACACTCTTGCCGCGAGGAGAACTGATTGGAGATCTGCCGCATGCCGTTCGATGCTGTACATCCCTTCTACCATAGGCTTTGAGGACCGACCGAATCCTCTATTCTCATAGCAAATGCATTGATACCGCGTGCTCAAGCTGGAAATAACCTCCCTCCAGATGTCGGTGATGCCGAAATAGCCTGACACAAAGACAAGAACTGGTCCATTGGAGCCATGCTCCTCGTAGTATATTTCGCATTCGTCGTCGGTGGGGGCAAACGGCATGGTTGGAAGGTGGAGGGAACTTGATGTTTTCCTAAAGGCGAATGGATGCAGGAGTGAATTTCAGGGATTGGATTGGGGTGAAGCACGACTGAAGAGTTGAAAAAGGAGCAAAAAAGAACTGACAAGAACGGGGCGGGTGTGTGCGCGCTTGACAAAACGTGGGACAGTGCGAAACGCGCACATCAGACTCAGCCCTTAGGGCTTAGGGGCTCTTGCATCTGAAATGATTAAGTTACACCGTCTTCCTTTCCTTTCCTTGCCATTCTGTTGGGATTCCGGGCCAGAAGTTACAGAGTTTGAAGGATATCCCCCGAGGCCAAATGGTATTTGCAGTTTACCCTTGTTCTGGGTTTTTAATGGCCATTTATGATGGCGCCCAAGAGTGAGGAAATGAATAATTAAAAAAAAAGGGGCTCCATGAGAAACGCATGAAACGAGCACTCTATACGTTCTGAAAGGAATCTAAGATCTAAGGATGTCCGTAATATAGCCCCCGTCTTCCCATCGCAGCCACTTCTCTCCCCTTCTTTCATGCAGACACACAGAACTGTAGGAAAGGAAAGAAAAAAGAAAGAAAAGAAGAGAAAAAACCCCGATTATTTCCTCCACTGTCTCATCTTGACTCTGTGTATCCACGTCACCAGGTATACAAGAATGTAATTGGTGATGCAAAAGCCAAGGAAGACCGCCCAATCTCTCCACCGATCTGCATAATAGTAGTTGAGTGTCTTAGCATAATCATCGCCAAGACTATATTTGCAGTAACCACAATTCTGTGTTGCTGCAGGGTTTTCGAGATAACCTGGGTTCCGCTCCATATAGTCCTTCAAGTATTGACCACATGTCTGACCAGAAGGCGGGTTGAAAACAGCCAAATCAGATGACCCGCATGTAACATTCACGCCATGTAAGACAGTGGAAACAGTTGGCTCGAAAAAGAATGTCAGCGGGTCTGCCCAGAATAACCATGGGTGATAGAAGCTGTTGAGCGCGCTGCGAGGATTTGCCGCCCCCGAAAACATCAGCAAGACCACCCAGAAGAGTGAATTTGCATATCCTGCCATTGTTCCATTGTGGAATAGAGAAGCCATCAAATAGGAGAATCCGAGGCCAAAAATGGACAACAGGAGATACATGAAGTAAACAAAGCCGGCGATGCTCGGAGTAGAGAAGAAGCCAAATGTCCAATATGTGCAAAAGAATATCAGAGTAAAGATGATAATGACCCACGGAAGTTCCACGGCGATCAGAGCAGTCAGAAGTGCTCTGAAGTCGTAGATACCATTGCGTTCACGGGCTTCGAATATAGACCACTTTTCAAACCAAATGGCTTGGATATCAACAGCCAGCGTAGGGATAACCCATGTTGAAAGAAGAATACCCAGCATATGATTCTGCAGTCCGGCAGGGCTATTACTGACATGAAAAAATGTAAAAGACACAAATAGCTGAAAGAATATACTTTTAGCCAGTCTGCCGAAGTTGTATTGGCCACTTCTCCAAACCGATCTCCAGTGTCGGTGCATTAGTATGATTGTTTGCGCGTATAATGGGAGAGCGTATTGTCTGGACCCTTTTTGGACTGGCCCATCTGGAGCAGGGGCCTTTGCAGCATTTAACTTGAGAATCTGCTCTTGTAGGATTGCGCTTTCAGGGGAGTCAATCCATGTTTGCGGCCAATCTCGGTCCCCTTTAGCGACGGCAGATATGATGAACTCCGCCGGATTATCTTCCGGTGCCATGACTGCACCATGTCGGGCAAAGTAGCTCCCAATTGTGGATGCATGAGTGCCTGTTTCGCCAAAATAGATCGTGCGACCGCCAGGAGCGAGCAGCAACACATGATCAAACATTTCGAATAGAACCCCAGAGGGCTGGTGAATGGTGCAAACGATTGGGATACCTTCTGCGGCGATTTTGCGTAGGAAGCTAACTATAGAAAAGGCTGCTTGACTGTCGAGACCAGAGGTTGGCTAGGATGGGTGAGTATTCAATTCAGACAGAGTAGTCGGGCTTAACTTACTTCATCGAGGAATAACAGAGCCGAGGGTCTCGCAGCCAGCTCGACGCCAATCGTTACTCGCTTGCGTTCCTCCACGTTCAATTGACCATCACCCGTTGTACCAATCAAAGCATCTGCGAGATGTTCAAGCTCAAGCAGGGAAATGATATACTCGGCATAGTCCAACTTTTCCTGTTTGGGGACATCGGAAGCCTGACGGAGAATGGCGGAAAATTGGAACGCTTCTCGAACGGTGGCGTTAGGCTCATGAATATCCTGCTGCATACAAAAGCCACAAGACCTTGCAAATGAAGGCCCAGGGGAGCTGCCGTTGACACAAATATCGCCAGTAGTTCGGCCTTCGGCTTTTCTCTGAGAAAGGTTGTCCAGTAGAGTAGTCTTTCCGGCGCCAGAGGCACCCATCAAGGCAGTTAGCTGACCAGGCTTCACGTAGCCACAAACATTGTTCAGAAGCTGTTTTTCATCCGAACTTGGTCCAACAAAGTAGTTGAGATTGTTAAAGGTGAAGTTGAAGTTATTTTCTTCGGTCGGCCTCGAGACTTGACTGGTACTGTCGCTGTTGTCGCGTGTCGTTGACTCACTCATTGTCAGCGAGTTCCGGGCTGAACTGACCGGCATTTGCTTCTCAATGTCGTCTATTCTCGTATTTTCCTGCTGCAGCGTGTCGGGTTCTCCCTTTCTGGTTCTTTTGAAGACGGGTCCTCCTCCTCCCTTCGAATCCCGTGTCATGAGCACCAAGCCCACGGCAGTCAGAACCATATAGAGAAACCACATTGCGAGAATGATACCAAAGTTGCGCCAAAGATGAGACCGGGTGAAATCATATGTTTCTTGTAGGTAGATCGACCCAGCAACTTTGGCGGAACCCGATTTGGCTCCGCTCATCGGGCATGCCTGGTGATTAAGATCATTGTATCCGGGCCCAGACGGAATGAGTTGCGACGGGGTACACTGGAGGACGATATTATAAAATTCATTTCCCATCAACGCTTCGATTGCGTATGGAGTAGGTGTTATTCTCCGAATCCATGAACCCCAGCGATGCATTGTTGGAACAGGCGGGGCATATCCAGAGTAAAGACAGGCAACTGGTAAAGCACACCCAGCCAAGAGATGTGAGACATTCAAGCTTGGGGACCATGCACCGATCATCCGGAACATGCTAGAGATAGCCGAGTAATGGATAAAACAGATCAAGACAAAGATGAAGAACTGGGAGGCTGAGAGACTCAAGCCAATAATGAAGTAGTAACAGCACGAGAAAACAGTTGTCTGAATCAAGGCAGATGGAATATCTGCAAGTGTTTGAATGACAGCATATGCCACCGGATGAATAAAACCAAAGTCGTGCTGTTTCAATAATATTGACCGGGCATTGACAGTCTTGACTACTTCTGTCAGTGCATTCAGACAAAAGTACGCGCCCGCAAAGAATAGAGCACCACTCCGCTCAAAAGAGCCAGAAGCAGTTTTCGGAGCATGGTAAAAGCCCGAGCCAGTAATCACTGCGTTCACAATGCACAATGCCACAATCGTGAAGAATGTGTTACGATCCCCCCAAAGAATTTTGTAGTATCGCTTTGTTCCAACCCACACTTGCTTTGCTATGGTGGCAGGCTCCGTGGAATTCGGGAGAGCAAACTTGGATCGAATGCTGCGAACATCTTGGTGAAAGTCGTGTTCGGTAGATGAGCCATCAAAGAGATCGTGATAAGCTTTAATATCAGATTGGAGTTGAAGGTAATGAGAGCTTTCGCGGAAGGCTGCCGCAAGAGAATCTGGGTCAAGGTAACGAGGTCCCTGATAGTCATCTCGGATTCTTCTTTCTGCTGGCGAAGTGATCGAAGTGAGAAAGTCTGGAGTGGTTTGACGCTGGGGGCAATAAAAGCCAAGGCCCTCAAAATATGACTTAGCATCTTGTGCCTTCCCACTGAAGATCATTCGGCCTTCATACAAGACCAGGGTGCGATCGAAACAGTTCTGGTACATGCTTTCTGAAGCCTGATACAAAGTCACCACGTTTGCCATGCCGTTGGACCGGGACATGTGCTTCAGTAATTGCAAGTACTCCAAAGCTGAAGAGCTGTCAAGTCCTCTGATTGGATTGTCCCAACAGGCAAGGGCTGGATTTATCGTCATCATTTCGGCGAGCGAGATACGACGTCGCTCTCCTCCGGACACGCCGCGAATGAACGAATCACCGACAATGGTGTTTTTGGTTCGCAGGATACCGAAGGAACTCAAGAGCAGATTCGTGTACTTCTCGGCAAATTCTAAGTCGGACATTGGGTTGTGCGTTGGCTTTCGAAGTCGCAAAGCAAAATCCAAGGTGTCCTTCACTGGCAGGGTAGGGAAGTGCATATCGTCTTCAGAACTGTAAACCACCTCAGATCGGAGGGTTTTCTTGACATCCTTGCCGGTCATCCATGCGTAGTTGACGCTCCCCTGAATACCTTCAAATGAATCAATGTGGCTTGAAATGGCCTTGAGTGTTGTTGTACATCCTGATCCAGGTCTTCCAAGCACAAGCATTGTTTCTCCAGGGAAGACCACACCCGACACGTCGTAAACAAGGTTTCGCGTAGACTTGGGCTTATTGCCTAGGATGGTATAGAGGACTTTCAGGGGAGTGGTCGCAATCCGCTGGAGCAGAGTAGGGAGGTCAAGGACAGTTCGATCACCTTGGGCACGTCCAGTCACCGTGACATGATCGAATGCAACGCCGAGGGCTCGTCCATTTGGGCGATATATCGGTAAATCTTGTGGAATTGAATGTGGCTGGCGCTTCTGTTTGATTGAAGTGATCAGTCATCGATTGAATGTTTAGGTCAGTAGAGATTATTGGGGCCCTACTTCAACCACAAGGCCACCTGAATCTCCTGCATGGCCCTTGTCTACCATACTTCGACAAAAGCCGTTCAACAACTTAAGCAGTACGGATAGAACTGCAATTTCAACCCAAAAGGAAGAATAGTACTAGTGATTAATAAAAAAAAAGTTCAAAAGGCTGTTTGTTGATACTAGTCCCCCAGGCCTCAGAACGAACTCGAGACAACGGGCAAGCATTTGTTTTTCTTTTAAATATACTACTACCAGTACTACTAACTAGGGATGTAGGTGCGATGCCCACGCAAGCTCTACGGAATTCTTCTACTCGGTCCGAGCTATAAGCCCGGACGACCCTGTGGCAGGGAACCAGTTCCATGACAGGCCCAATCAATTCCACTTGAATATGGCTGTATCCAGTATCCACCGCCAGATTCCCGCAGATCACCCGAAGATCCGATGAGAAAGTCCCCACCCGCGAACATCTGTCCACTAAAATCTGATGGCAGCCCGGCATTTGCGGATCTTCGGCATCAGCCCGAAAGTCCGAAGTTACATAACCGGGCCATTCCATTCTTCCTTAACACAACTTCTTCGGTACTTTTTTATCAACTTAGTAACTTCCTTCCGCCTTCCATAGTTCCATATGGGCATTATCAAGAACTCTGTCTAAAGGTCTTACTATATCTATTACACTCACCGCGTCGCAATCTAGTCGACGGTCCCTTGCCATGCCTGCAAGTGGATCATCCTCCTTCTCTCCTGATTCTCAAGACACTCGCCCCCGTAACCAGCGTGTCTCGTTAGCTTGTGAATCCTATCGGTCTCGGAAAATCAAATGCGATGGCTCGAACCCCTGTTCTCGCTGTCGGCGTGTTGGGCAGGAATGCGTTTTTCAAGGTCGGAAGAAGCGAAGGCCACGCAAACCCGAATCGCTTCCTTCTCGCTCCCACACAACTTTGGCTCCTCCAGATAATCAACGTGTCTCTCCTGTCACCACTCAAGCACTGAATGATCCTGTATACTTCAAAAAGCAATTGGAACTGCGTGCAGGCTTTGGGGTCTCTAATGCAGCCACCGGTTGTTTTCAATTCTATGGTATCTTCCCGTCCCGATTCCTGCAAGAATCCGCTTCTGATGGCCGTTAGGCCCTTCCTCACACTTCTCTTTCATCCAAAGGATATATCAGCGTATCAAAAGACAAACCCTCAATCGTCAGGACCAAACTTCGGCTACGGATGTCGATAATTGGGGCCTGGAACGTTTTATGTTCTCTGTTGACTCGGGTGAAGGAGTTGGACAAGGTCCAACACAAGCGTATGTTTCTAATGAGATGGGTATCAAGTTTATTGATGCCTTCTTTGAGATTGTCCATCCTCAAATGCCAGTCTTTAGTTATGAAGAGACTATAGCTTCCTGGAATTCTCTGTGGAATCCACCTCGGGGTCGTGAGCCAAAGAAAGGTCAAGAGATACTTTATATGATGCTAGCACTTGGAGCCCATTTGTCCCATTCAGAAGGACGGCAAGATTTGGAGTCATCGGAAGGGTGGTCGGAGTACTTCTATAGGTTGGCTAGCAGGGATGCAAGTGATTTGACGGACACGAGCTTGCGATCTACTCATTTTATGCTCTTGAAGGTAGGGATCCGTGGCATGCCTGATTGTCCATGAGTTGTTCATTCTGACTCTCACTGAAATTGGTTTCCAAAAAGTCGTTCTATGCCTTCCAAGTCATGAAATCCCATGAAGCCTACATATACCTTGGACATGCTGCTCGGAATGCTCTCGCTCTTGGAATTCACAGAGCGCAGGTTGTCGAAGGAGATAACCTCACCATCCATCGACTAAGGATAACATTTTGGACCATATACATGTTCGAACGATCGTGTTCCCTTTTCAGCGGGCGCCCATCATCCTTTCGTGATGAGTTGATCGATGCCCCATACCCGAATGACCTTCCCTTCGCCCTCGTGTCCGAGGGGCCCTCTGCACCTCAGTACCTTCACCCCACCTGCAAGTGTGCCTGGATACGCTCCATGGCGCAACTTGGTAAGATCTCTGATCGACTGTCTGTCGAAATTTACTCCTCCAACGCCATGACCAACCCCAAGGATATCCTTCAGGTTCGGCAAGCCACAATTGCTTGTGACCTCCAACTTCAATCGATCACCCACGCTTTACCTTCCTACTTACACTTCTTTGACCAGAATGCCCCCCTCGGGGATGGTTGGCAGGAGGTTCAAAGAATCATGATCGGAGCGCACTACTATACTACACGCATGCTTTTACATCGACCCGCCCTTGTATTCGCGACTCTCTTCGACTCGGGGTCTGACGCGGAGAAATGCTCCTCTGGAACTATGCACATCAATGATTCCATCGAGATCTCGGTAGAATCAGCCAAGAACCTCATCAATCTTGTATACGATGTCTTCTTCCAGCGGTATCCTAATGTAAAATTCGATGGAACCCCCGCGACATTTTTAGTATCCGCTTGCATTACCTTACTCTATTATGTTCTTGAACACAAGTTCGACGCAGACTACGTTCGCAATACTTTCTCGATTGTGGAGAAAGGCATTAGATGTCTCGATCAACTACAGCATATTGGCCCCACTAGCGGAAAGGCTATTAGTCTTGATATAATGAAAGTGGCGAAAGATGCCTTCCTCTCCATCAACAATAATTCTCAAGAGGAAGTCGATCCCGATTTCCTACGGCTTCAGTATGTTTCAATCCGAGCACTCCTAAGTACAAAGTCATCGCTTAAGTGGCCCAGCTAACACATTCTTTACTACTATATTAGACTGCCAGATTTACCTCCTTTGGAGAATTCGCATTTATCTCACCTGGACTCCATTCTCATTGCACCAGATGTCAACTATATGTCTCATTGGCTTGAAGCCGGGTTTCAACCAGGGGAAATACCTGATTGTCTGTTCTAGTCTTGATTGACCACTCACTGTAAAAGGTGTGGGGGGGAGGAGTAGGGGTACTATAGATCTATATATAGTACATACGGTAGTAAAACCAAGCGGAACAACGAATTAGTACTAGTACCTAAGACGATGCATGAGTAATTAGAACATGCTCGGCAACTTGGTACACTTACCCTCCTTCATCGGCCAATATTTGACCATGATGGCCCCAGCTACCGATGATTTCTGTTTAGTTGGGTCTTGCCATGATTCATTGTACGCATACTACAAATACATGAGCGACAATCCCCAACAGGACATGTAATACTCAATTATCAATAATCTCATTGAGGTCACAGATCAAAACGAGGCATCCAATGAGTACTATTATGTCTTCAATGGTCTCATGGACACAGACAACAAACTAACTAATATTCTCTATATTCGTATACACATATTACCCCACCCACACAACACAATACCGCTATTGTCCCAAAATCTCCCTCACCGCACCCCTAACCTCCCCCTCATCCATAATCCTCAAATCGAGCCTCTCATTCCAATTCCATCGCATAAACTCCCCACCCAAATACCCCTCCCCATACATCATCTGATAATAATAATTAATAATAGCCGACATATCCCCCTTCTTCAACCTCTCCTCCGACTCCTTAATAAGCTTCTTCACCTCAACATCCTCCGGCATCCCAAAATCCACCCCTAGAACCTCAGAAACAATCTTCGTCAACCCTCTCTCCGTAACCACAGCCGAGCAAACATAAACCGGCTGATTAGCGGCAGCTTCGAAATTAGTAGGCTCCAACAACTTAACAATAGCAGTAGCGATATCACTCAACAGTGAAACGGCGATTTTCTTCTCACCGCCATCGTGGAAGACAGCTTTCTTAGTCATGGGGTTGGGGCCCAAGACGCCAAACTTAAGGGCCATGTCGAAGAAAGCGCCGTTGTTAAGGGAGGTCCAGGTTGTTGGGGAGGAAGTGTCTGGAATGACGGAGTTCAGGTACTGACGGATTAGAACCTTTTCTTTGGCGATGGGGAGGTTAATGGTTAGAGGAGATTCCATCATCGTGGTGAATTCGGATGGGATGAAGCGTTTGACGGAGGCGGAGATGCAGGCGTCGATGATGGTCTTTTCGGAGGTGAGTTGGGGGGAGGGGACGGCGCTGTGACGGGGTTAGGTAGGTAGGTAGATATGGTGTTGGTTAGTTATGGACGCACCTGATAACGACGTCCTGGCCGGTGAATGTGGAGATCAGTTCGTCTTTGTTCTGATAGTCGACTTTGATGACTTTGAGGCCTGCGGGGGCTGGCTTGTCCGAGTCCTTGCGCTGGATGGCGGTGACTTCGTGGCCGGCTGCTGAGAGAGCGCTTGCAATGTGGGATCCGAGGGTGCCGGTGGCCTAGAGTGTATGCTTTGTTAGATATGATGTTTGTATAGGTTGATATGCTTGTGGCAGTAGTAAGTATATGACGTACCCCGATGATTGAAACTTTCCTGATAGTAGTCATTTTGACCGATGAGAGAGATAAGCGGATGCTCAGAGGAAATCAGAATAAGAATGCCTAAGAAATACTGCAAGATACTATGCAGATTGACCACTCTAACTGGTTTCATTCCTCATACTATATACTTCATATGGTGATCGTCTTCAACGGCGATGGTTCCAAATCGGCGTTCCGATGTACCGACATGCCGACCTTGGGGTTGAGATCAATCCCGAATTGGGCTCAGTTACTGCACTGCATCTGCATACCCACAGTAATTTGATAAGCAATCCCTGTGGGATTAACTAATAAAGTCGGAGGCTCGGAGTGTCGTTTTGTCAGCCAGCAGAATAGCATTTTTCCTGAGCCTCCGAGAAGAATATCTATAGCATTGATGGCCGTTTGCCCACTAGAGAGGACGTGATGCGACATGAATACCTACTCGAGTTTGCAAGACAGCGGAGCCGCCATGGGATACTCATCATATTGAGCACTATACCTTCTGGTCTCTTCTGCCATTCCTACAGTGTTTGATGATGTCGCCCATGCCTTGTCTTGAGGCATGTTACGTTGGGAAAGCGAAAGACGACCGGAGTCATTGCCTTTTACTCAAATCACTCATGCGCATGCAATGTTCCACCATTGTCATCATGACATTTCTAGCTAGCTAGCGTATTATGTCTCTACATTCGTTATACATCAATAGTAAGGAGCATGAACGACGTAAGCAGCTGCATTTCATCGCTACCCTCCGAAAACAGGACTCAAACCCGGGAGATATCCAAGCTGTCAGGCACACCGTAACGAGTGAGCCTCATGCGATAGCTTGGCTAGACGGCGCCAGCGCCAGCGAGTGCCATCTCCTCACGCAGACGCATGCATGTTGAAAACAGGATGATAGCACAGAATGAAGGCCGAATCTTGTGAGAGGCCAAGGGACCATGAAACATTTTAACATTGAGCGGAAATAGCGGAGGGGTCATCAAGGAGAGGGCTTCCAGGAACGGCATCCAGGGCGACGGCGTGTAATGCAGGCTTGCTTGCGTCTTGGATCAAGCCACGCTGGCGACGATCTAGCTGTTCCTTGACCCAGGCTGCCACTTCCTCATCTTCCGTTACATTGGACCCACCCTCCTTTGTCGAGCCGTTTGGTGCATCATCGGCATCGGTGTTCGTGGGAGGCTGCATAAGCGACGACAGCCAGGGATGGCGAAGGAGCATGCTGTACGATGGGCGGTTGTTCGGGTTCTTGTCCAAGCACGCGCGGACAAAGGAGTGTGCTTCTTCAGAGTAGCCCGTTTCAGGGAGTGTTGGCGCGTCACCATGAACGATGGCCTTTACAAATTGTCAGTATCCTGAATGACGAGGTAAGATACAAGGGAAGCAATGACTTACGTGCAACTGGCTGAAGATGTTATTGAAGGTTTCGGGCGGGTATGGATACCGACCAATGGCACACTCGATGATGGACAAGCCCAAGCTCCAGACATCGCTCTGGACGCTGTAGGTTCCGCCTCCACTTGCTCCAGACTGCTGCACACCCCCACCTGCAATGCGCTCAGGGGCCATGTAGCTCTGACAACCAATGTTTGTCTTGGCAATACTGGCAACCAGGTTGCCGCTCACACCGAAATCGCAGATCTTGACCTGTCCGCGAGAATTGACGAGGATGTTCGTGGGCTTGACATCGCGATGTATGATGTTGTGGTCGTCCTTGAGGGTCCTCAAGCCCATGACAGTGGATAATGCCACCTTGCGAAGGATGTTTTCGGGTATTCCCTCCTTGTATAGTTTGTCGATCGAGCCACCATCCATGTATTCAACACAAATGTAGACCGCGCCTTCTTGAAAGAAAGCGCCGTAGAAGTCGATAATGAATGGAGACACACAGCGGTGAAGAATCTCCAACTCCATGATAATCTGAGCGAACTTGCTCTCGTCCAACTCCAGGCGAATCTCCTTCATCGCCATGACAACTCCAGAAAGGTTACCTTCCGTCTTCACTCCGGACGTCGTAGTGGAGTCGCCATCCTCATTGCGACTTATAATCCCCCGTAATCCCATCCCAGGTTTGCGCATGTGAGGACGGCTATGGCGAACCTTGTATACCGTTCCGTAGTTACCCTTGCCTAGTTCATCCAGACGATCGACCTCGTCTAAGGAGATGCTGAAACTCTGACCTGATGAGAATTCGATACCGCCACCATGGAGGATAGCCTTGTTTTTGAAATTGAGCGTCCCCGATTTCGTATCAATGAATTCTGAATATTTGCTGAATGCGGTTTCGGGGGGAGCAGGCCCGCCGTTGGCAGGCTGCCCAGGCGACGGCGAGCCGTTCAGACCCGTAGCGTCCGATAACTTCAACCCCGGCTTCATACGTTTCGCGGCCAGACCACCGGGCTTAGGAGAGCTGCCACCCGGGGACCCATGAGGCACAGAAGGCGAAGAGACCCAGTTTTTGGTACCGGGACGAACAGCGGTGGGAGGTATCCGGCCTGCAAAAGCACCTGCCAAGGGGCCATTTGCGCCTGGTGAAGGCTGTACTGATACTGGACTGCCACCCGATGCCGCCGGAGAAGCCCGGGGCACTAAGCCAGTCGTATTGGCATGCGCCAAAGAGGGCGGGGCGCCCTGTCGAGACAATGAGAAAGCCTTCATCTTCGCTAATATATCCTGATTCAATCCCCCCGGCTGCGCGCCGCTCATTGAAGCTTGTGGGCGATTTTGGGGCGTCCCAGCACCGCGTCGGGCGGCGTTGAGTTGACCTAGATGTGTCGACGACGGGGTGATTGAGGGTTTATCGAGAGTCGGGCGGAGGGAGGGTACTGAAGCGTACGATTGTGTCGTGGCTAGGGAGGGTGAGAGGTCGTCGTCGGTGGTGTCGGAGCGGTTATCCATATCTGACAGGGGTCTGGACGAGATGTCCGTGATCGGCTCCCCTTCTGTTGCCATTTTGGAGGAAGTATTCGAACAGCACAATTGGTATCGGGAGCTGGAGCGCAGTAGTCCGAGAGTGCCGTCAAAACAGTCTCACGGAGGTCGGGGCACCTGGTGCATGAACGGAGGAGGGGATTGAAGAGAGGGAAGGAAAGATCGGAAAGAGCGGAAAAATGAAGCTATCAAGATGTGTGAGGATAGATGGTGATAAAATTGGCAGTAGAGAGGAAGTTCAATGTTGGTGGAGCCAGAACGCTTTTCCAGAGGGGGGAAGTGGAGGAGAGGAAAGCAGGTTTCGTCGACGCGGGGCACGCCTGAGGCTGTCCTCAAGCAAGCTGATAACAAGGCACAACAGGGACGGGGAGGATGGAGAACAGATGGTGCGATCCCTCGCAAAAATATTGGTCGGGCGGCTTGAACTCCGTGACCAATAAGAAGACAAAGAAAGGCAGGTAGAAGAGAGGTCAGGACTTAGTACAGTGGTAGAGGAAGAGGAACATGAAACAGACAGAGAGAGAGGGGGGAAGAGGGTCGATGACGGTACTTAGTGGGGGGTGGGAATGACAGGCAATAAAAATAACCGT